AAACCGAATGCTTTGAAATCTTGAAGGTGTTTTAAAGTTATCATAAGCATGGTAAGTTTTTGATCAAAATGTATTTGTTCATCCCCCCTAAAAAATTTATCACGTCACCACAAAATTTTTCCGAATAAATCCTATCTAAAATGTACAAAATATGGTGAATCTCTTTTGTCATTTATCATTCCATTCAAATTTCTTCGATTTCCATATACAGGGTGACCCAAAAAAATTAACAAATGCGTGCATTTATTTTATTGAGTTAATCAGGAACTACAAAACCGAATGCTTTAAAATCTTGCAGATGTTTTAAGGTTATAAAGAGCATAATAAATGTTTAGTCAAAATATTTTTGCTTATCCCCTCCAAAAAATTGATGACGTCAGCTCGAAAGTTTGCCGAATAAATCCTATCTAAACTGTACAAAATATGATGAGTCTGTACTTGTAATTTATCACTTCATTCATATTTTTTGGATTTGCATATACAGGGTGACTCAAAAAAATTAATGAATGCGTAAATTTATTTTATTGAGTTACTCAGGAACTACAAAACCGAATGCTTTGAAATCTTGAAGGTGTTTTAAAGTTATCATAAGCATGGTAAGTTTTTGATCAAAATGTATTTGCTCGTCCCCCCTAAAAAATTTATGACGTCACCACAAAATTTTGCTAAATAAATCGTATCTAAAATGTACAAAATATGATGAGTCTTTTCTTGTGATTTATCATTCCGTTCATAATTTTTGGATTTGCATATACAGGGTGACCCAAAAAGATTAATGAATGGGTAAATGTATTTTATTGATTTAATCAGGAACTCCAGAACCGAATGTTTTGAAATCTTGCAAATGTTTTAAGGTTATAAAGAGCATAATAAATTTTTAGTCAAAGTATATTTGGTTATCTTCTACAAAAGTTTGCCGAATAAATCCTATCTAGAATATACAAAATATGATGAGTCTGTACTTGTAATTTATCATTCCATTCATATTTTTTGAATTTGCATATACCGGGTGACTCAAAAAAAATAATGAAATCTACTGCGAAAAAAAACATAATAGACATGCAGTCGTCACGTTTCCGACAGCGAGGGAAGTACTGTCTAAACTCTTTAGACCAATTTTTTAAAAATTAAACTAATTCATTACAATAAAAAGAAACAAATTTAATGTGGTTAAACATCACAGTAAATGCTGCAAATGTTCACCATTTTTGTTCAAGGCCCACTGTTCAATTTCATGTTGCAACAGAAACTCCTGACTGCAGAGGCAATTTTGTCAAAGATGTTTACGGATTCTGCTCAAGTCGTCTCAAATCATCAACTTCCTCAGATACCTACTACGTCTTCCCCGAGATTTCTCTTTGTTGACAGCGCAAGTTCGAACAAATCTGTTGATTGCATCTTTAATGTGCGCCTCTAATGATGTTTCTTGAATTATTACATGACGGTATTTGGCCAGATATTTTTGCTTACAAGCGGTTACAGTATACACACACTCTTCGTTTACGAAGTCCCATTGCGATACAAGACATAACAATGAAAATGTCTTGTTCAACAGAATAAACCATTTTCACAGTCTTCGCTTCCTACCACCAAAACAAAATTTTCGTACGCAACCACCAGGAGTTTTGAAAACGACTGTTTTGTTGTTTTGAGCTTCGATCAACGAGAATTACTGTAATTCACACTTGAAAAATCTTAAAACAATAAAAACGACGACTTTAAATGACAGGTTACAAATGTCATTAACACTGGCCTGACACTTATCTATACTGTCCTGACCACGGTGGTAGAAGTAAGGTGTGGAAACCTCATTCATAACTTTCCTCAAAATCATTGGTAGAAAACACAAATCGCGTGGTTTGGATTATATGTCATTCGCTGTCCACACCGCAGCGACGTCTAGAGAGATCAGTTGAAATTAAGTAATAGAAAACTGCATTAAATCTTTGACATTTATGCCAATGTCATTTATTACCCAATCACAAATGTCGAATCATCCACCAATCACACGATTCACACCAAGGACCAACCACAAACCGTTGTGCTGTGATTTATTTTCCCTCCAACGAATCTGTCACTTAATTCATTCATAAATACACTGACAAGTTGAAATGTTAATACATAGATGGACATACTGTGCTGCATACTATTTCGTAGTAAATAAGCCTACTGGGATGCGTGTTTTATTCAACAAATTGGAGCGGCTTGTTTCCACACCTTACTTCTACCACCGTGGTCCTGACATTTATCTACCAGATGCAAACGCCCAGGTATTGTGTGGCACTCTCCGCGCGCAGTAATGTCGACCACTCGATGCGGTCAGTTACATCGAGTGCAGTGGCGAGACCTGGGCCCTATTCCACCAACATTTCTGAAAACTTTGCACTTTGCGCTTTTCACTTTTCAGAAATTGAAAAGTGCAAAGTTTTTGTGTTCCACCAAGACTTGAAAAGTACTTTGCGGAAAGTCGTTCAAAATTTAAAATTTGCAAAGTTTATTGATAATCAAGTTATCTGGGGCCTATTCCACCATTCACTTTGCAACTTTTTTCCGTGTCAATTTATGGGCGTTGTTGTACCGCCTTTCATCTTCGGCACCAGGGTTGCTGTGGAGAGGAGTCATCAACCACGGTCGTGTTGCGTAAGCTGAGTCACCCAAAATGACTGCTCCTGGAAAAAGCCTCCATCCTTGTTCAAACCTTCTATAAATTGCGGTGTTTCGAAAGACTCTGGAATCGTGGACGCTTCCAGGCCAATTTGCGTTAACTGCATAAAAATAATTATTTGGGCCGCATATCATCATGACATTTAATGAATGATCGCCATAGCGATCAACGTAGACTTCTTCATGATTAGAAGGGCTATCGATGTTTATTAAGGTGCCATCAACACATCCACAGACACATGGGAATCCACCTTTGCGCAAAAATTCCATGGCAATGTCTTGTGTATTTTCTGGCCATCTAACTTCCTCTTGAAACATTGTATCAATGATGATGTTGACAACTTTCTTAATACTTCGACAAACTGTCGATTTTCTTACGCCGTGCATGATGGCTATCCCATGCATCTAGGCATCATTCCCTAGCCAATGTAGTGTCAACAATAGTTGCTGCTCCGCTGTTAGAGCATGGTTTCTTCTATTTGCAGGGGCTAACCTAGCTCCGATTTTGCCTAAGACATACTTCACGTGTACCTTATTTAACCTGAATGCTTCTTTAAAATCAAAGTCGTTTTCAGTGGTAAAATGTACCCTTTCTTTATATATTTTTCGTCTTGGTGGTCTTTCATCTTCATTTTCACTAGATTCATCGCTTGAAAACAATATTCTTCTTATCATTTTGCAATCACTTTGACAACGCAAGGTTTATAGACCACTTTGCGTCTAAATTGCAAAATGAGTAAATTTTGCACTTTTACTTTCTAAAATTTTATAATGGTGGAACAGAAAATTAGAAAATATAACGTAAAGTTTATACTTTTCACTTTTCATTTTACTTTACCTTAATAAATTATGATGGGTGTGGTGGAACGCAAAGTACGTTTGAAAAGTGTAAAGTGTAAACTGCAAAGTTGCAAAGTGAATGGTGGAATAGGCCCCTGGTACTCGCGTGTTTGCAAAGTGATGTAACAAATAAATATAAAAATAAATAAATAATAACAAATAATTAAATAATGATACACAAAATAAGGTTATGCGCTAACTTCTGAAGAATTCTTGTTATTTTGAGAGTTTCTAGCTGTATTAAAATGTTGTATCACCACATACGCTTCTAAATGATCTTCTCTAAAATAATTTCTTTTTGCCGTTAAAACATCTTTAAACATGGAAAACGATCTTTCCACATCACAACTTATTGTGATGCATTAGAGAAAATGTTAATCAAATCCGATCACACAATGCATCACAAGTAAATGCATTAAAAGCTATGCCCCTCAAATTTTTGTAATCTGGGTTGCAAGCCACAATAGAATGAATTTTTTTTGTTAGTTTTGTACTTATTGGTGCATCAATTCCTTTCAGCTATTCAAATAAACCCTCAATTTTCTTAAAACTAGACTGAACTGCAATATTTTGTTTTTCGAAAATTTTTATTGTAGGTAAAATGTCGTTAAAATTGGTGCTTATGAATTCCACTCGTTCTTGCAAATCGTGTACTAGTAAGGTTTGTTTACATTCTTTTATAATGACCGCCTCATCAGGCTACTGTAAAACAAAAGATTTTATTAAAAGAAAATTTTGAGCATAAAACAACGCTGCTTCCAACCACGTCCCCATCTTGTTATAATTGGTTGAGGAGGCAAGGGTAAGCCAGAGCAATGTTGTTTATATAACGTTGCCCTAGATGGAGCTTGCAATAAAAATTTTTTACAACTGCATATTAACTTATTTACGTCTGGAAACTCTTTCCGAAAGAATTGACAAATTCTGTGAAATGCGTGTGCAAAACACGTTAGATGCAAGACATTTGGAAAAGCTTCCTTGAGAAGTTGTCCTACTTTTAACATTGTGACAGCAGCATCGGAAACAAAAAGTAATATTTTTGAAACGTCTGCGTTGATAATGTTTACCACAGCTTGTTTTACGATTTGGGCAATTTCTTCAGCGTTAACACTAGAGCGAACTTGTGTTGAAATTAAAAAAGGCTCGTATGGTATGTCTGGTTGCAAAATACCAACAATAACATTAACAACACACCTACCTTTAATGTCTATTGTTTCATCCGCGCTTACCCAAATATAATTATCAGATAATAATTTGTTTTTTATTTTACAAATCGTTTTGTCATAGTGCTTTTCGCCGTAATATTTTCTTAAGCTGGACGCATCGATTTAATTACTGTTTCTATCAGCTAAATGCCGTGTTTTTTAGATGTTTAAATCTTTGTACTCCATATTAACTTTGCAACATAACACAACAACTAAATTATCGATTAATAATAAACGTGTAAACTCTTAACAGTAAGTTGATTTCTAATATTATGTATGTTTTTGTTTTAGAAGTCGAAAACCGTCGTTGCAGTGGTATTGTGCTGTTTGTGGAAGTTATCTTCGTTCAAGGTTAAATGAAGAAAAAGTCAAAATTGTGATATGTTCAGCATGCGAAGAAAGAGTGTGCAAACAACGTTGCTCAAAAAGAAATTATGCCAAACAAGAGTGGATATGTTACACTTGTCTGAAACGACCCTCGATAGTGCAAAATATTCGTAACGTTTTCTGCTTACCTTATAAAAATTTGAACTGGATGAAGAATATGGTTTCTAATCAAAGTGGGCAAACTGAAAATAAATTAGAAAATGCCCATGCACACTCTTATCACGAAAAAGAATATGTGCGGGACTTTATAGAGAAGTTAATTTCTACTATTATAGGAGGGAGTGTAGATGAAGCCAGTATATCCAGAGTTTATAATGACAAAAGTTGTGAGTACTAATAACTTTATTTTCGTTTGTTTTATGTTACACTGACCGTAAAAAAAAACCGGCCACCCTGAAAAATTTCGCAAAACCACTTTAAAAATTATTAATTTAACTAGTGATCGTTATTTTATTAAAGAACCATTCACTATTGACACATGATGTACAAATTAGCAAAAAAAAAAGAAGACAAATAAACGCAGAATTAAATTTAATTTAACAAAATAACAGAAACAGGCCAAGTACGATATTTTCTTAAAAAAAAGAAAAACAAAAAGGAGGCTGTTGTTGTAAACAGTGTTTTTCATCATTTGATTATAAGTTCGGCAATTAATAAACGTTTTCACGCGAAAACAATTCCATTAACTCTTACAGACGTCTCTCAAATTGTCGCTCTGTTTAAAATACGTTGTACGGAACATCATTTCGACCTATCTACTGAATAGTCGTAAAAGATACACCCCTATACAGCATGCGCAGTCACCACGTACAAAGTTACCGCGTAATTTAAAATCTGGCAATGAGGAAAAATATAACATGACAGATGACGTAGGTGCGCGATTAGTTGCATACTTACCAATCTTAGACTCCCCCTTCGGAAGTAGACATATGTATTTTATGTAACTAAATTATTCTTAAATTTTAAATATAACTTTATTTTCATCTAACATCCATTTTAAAATGACTATTATAATAATTTGTTAATTTGTTGTACATATTCAAACAAAACTGAGAATCAAACTAAATTCTTTCAATATACAGGGTTAGTCACGAGAGAATTACTTCTGAAAATTATTTTTACGCAACCCAAAATACGAATACCATGTACCATTTGATACTAACTGAATTTAAAATGAAATGCTTAATCCATGATTGCTTTGAGTTTGGCAATCTCATTTTGACAATTGTGGAAAAGGAGGTTACGCGAGTGTCCATGCTGGTACCGCAGCCAGTCGGAAATCTCCTCCGGCGCCGCTAATAATTTGTCAGTGTGCCTCTTGATCTTGTGCAACCGATTAATCACGAGAAAATTATTTCTAAAAATTCCTTTTACGGCATTTTATTCAAAGGTTACAACACAAACTCAAACAAGTAAGTAAATAATTTAACTAATAATCTGTTGAAAATGTTGGGCATTTTGGGGGGATGCTACGGCTTTTTTGTAAATGGATGGCCGAAGAAGTCCAGAGGTTGCAGATTTGCACTTCGAAGAGGCTCTAGGTGACGCAGAGATGGCGAATTAACACATGCACATTAGCGGCGGACAACATTGGTAGAGCACTTACGGCTTCAGTATAGCCCAGATTGATCTGACTGTATGTCGTCGATCCAATGGGGCTCTAGAGGCGAGTCAACGATGAAAAAAAATGTTAAAAATTAATTAACGTCAAAGTGACACTGCCAAAGTCAAAGCAATCATGGATTAGGCATTTCATTTTAAATCTAGATAATATCAAGTGGTACAGGGTATTAGTATTTTGGGTTGCGTAAAAATTATTTTCAGAAGTAATTCTCTCGTGACTAACCCTGTATAATTCTCTTGTATTTTTTAAAAAAATAACAAAATCACACCAAGTGAGTCCTGTAATTAACATTTGCCCTTGTATCTGATAGTAATAATTATGGGTCCTTTTTAGATATGTCTGGCCATTTTCTAACGCTAAGCAGAAAATTTTCATTTTTGCCGCCTCCTTAATCGTCTCCCACTTTTTGCTGTAAGGGCACTTAATTTCACAAAGTCCATATCCATGAACTTCATCAAATACAACGCCGTCAGGACTTGCACCTAGATGACTAGCAAATGGATGCACTACAAAGCCACACTTATACATTGTCCTTCGTGTTTCCTCCAAATACATTTTTTTTGCCACATCTTCATTTTCCACCCCATGCCTGATTGCCTTTACATTCGACAAATCATTATTCCCAAAAATGCTCTTTACATATTCTGCATTGAAGCTTCTTCTTTTGCAAATTTCCCCAAATTTTGAACTTGTTAAACGAAATTTTCGCTCATTATACCATGGTGCTGAAGAAGCTTGTTGTCTTGTTAATCGTTCTATTTCATAAGATTTGTCAAAAGAAATTTCTTCAATGGCATCTATGGGTGGTTCACTCAATAAAACATTTTTTGCTTCAGCATTATCAAGTGGTAGCTTTATAGGCATCTCATCTTGTATCCTCCAAATGTCTAGATTGTTCCTTTGCCTTTCTGGGTTGTACTGGTTTCCCAATACTGAATTAGAAGGGACTGATACATCTATAACAATGTGATTAGTACCTTAGTTTTATTACTAACATGAATCTTACTATCAAATAATGTAACAGTTTCTGTGGAAGGGTTGCCTATTAAATAACTAAACCCAATCTTCAAGACGGATGACTTGACAGCCTCAGTAAGATTCAGTATTTCCCTCTTGTTTAGAAATGCATCATCATGTCTAAGTGGATTGAATCGCTTACAGTGAATCGGTGACTTCTTCCTCCTACAGTTCAACGGATTGTAAAATGGTATGTCAATGACTTTTTCCGGCAAAATTTTTTTCCCTCTAGGTTTGTTCCATATCATGGGTTGTGAGGTGCATGTAACATTTTCCATTTGAGTGATCCCTCTACAAATCAAATCTTGGAGATGATATCCAAGTCCAACTAAATGATTGCATGACCTGCTCTTTCTGTAACATAATTTATAAATCATTACAGCAAAAACAATATTTTAGACAACCAACCCGGCCTCACATGTACAGTGTGAATCAGTTAAAATTAAATCTTCCTCAGTCTTTTCAAAAACCATATTCATTGTATGGGGTTTTTCATTTTTTTTTTGACTTCGATAACACTGTGCACACAAATGCAAGCCAGAAACTTTCAGGTTGTGAACATAACCTTCAGCAAAGAATTTATAGCCTTTTGACATCTGCTTTGACGTCCATCCTTGCTTCTCGAAGAATGTTTTGCAGCAGTCAAAGTTAAAGGTGCTGAACGCAAGCAGGTCCGTGGTCCACATATTTAAAAAAATGCCCGTTACGTCTTCCCAAAGAGATCGTTACTGAATAACCGTCCACTAAAAGTTTATTAAAATGTATTTAATAAAAACATCGACATAACCTTTATTCAAATGTCATACCTTTTACACACTACAGCAAGCTGCTGTTGTCTTGAAGATCGAGATTTTACAAAAAACACTCAAACAAACGCAAATCACACCAACAATTTGAAAAAACACAATGAATAATGAATGACAAACCGATATGACTCAGTTGCCACCGATGGCAGGTTTACGCCGCACGTGGTCAGAACGGCGGTTGTTTTAAATTACACGATGTTGATTCGCTGTTTTAAAAACTGCGGTAAAGATCTTGGTTGTGTACCCAACATATCATGCGCAAACTTCTATCTCTTACTAACATGTAGTAAGCCTCGGTCGGTTCGTGTTTACGACTATTCAGTAGATAGGTCCTATTAATTGAAAATACTCAATTTGTCATTCGGCATGGCATGGAATATTGAAATTCGTGTTACAGAATTGACGTTATTTATGTCTCAATTTATAGAGTTTTTTTTTTATTTGAGATTTAGCATATTCTTTGTTGTATAAAAGAAGAATTGACACGCAAAAGCTGTTTTGCTAAGCATCAATATTACATTGAAAGATCTGTGAATTTGGTGACATCATCGATTCAGTGCTCATTTGTTCTATATACATTTTACAACGTTGGAGCTACACATATTTAAAATTTGAAACAAAAATTATAAGAAAAATATTTGTTAAAAGTAATGTCTTTCGACTCAATTCTACTTATTTTCTAAGCTTCATTTCATTCTGAACTATGTAGAAATTTCTGCTAATAAACAACCTTAAAATATCATTTTTGGTCCATGTGAGTCAACTGATTATATTGATTAAATCAGGAAATGCAAAACCAAATACTTTGAAGTATTGCAGACGTTTTAAAGTTATTGTAAGTATGATAAATTATTAAGCGAAATGTATCTGTTTATTCCGCCCAAAAAATTGATGACGTCATCTCAAAATTTTGCCGAATACATTCTACCTAAAATGTGCAAAATATGATGAGTTTTACTTGTGATTTATGATTGCATTGATATTTTTTAGATTTGCTTATATAGGTGGCTCAAAAAAATGAATAAATAAGCCAATTTATTTTATTGATTAAATCAGGAACAGCTCACTCCATTTTCCCAGAAAATTTTGGGAATACAATACAGAATAACTCTATAATCCGAAAATCCAGTAATCCGAACAGAGGCTAGTTGAAGTCGATGTCTCTTTAATCCAAACAAAAACTCTGCAATCCGAACTGAACTTGAAAACATGCACCGACATGGAAGAATGACGCAAGATCTTCTTTCTGTACGTGTTGTATCGAATTTTTGATATTTTTAAAAATTGCGATATTGCAGTGGACGATTCTGGAAAAACGGTATTAGTTTTCTAAGAAATGAGGTCAGAAGTGGCTTCTGCGGCCCGAAGTCTACAAGAAATGTATTTAGTTAAATTTCGAAACAACAAATCAGAAAATATCTTCCACAAGTTACAGCATCAATTTGAAATTTGTACTCTCCAAGTTCTAGCGATGATTAAATAAATTACTGGACTGCAAAGCTACGAATTTCTATCATGACACATTGTATCAAGATCTTTAAACAAGAAATAAGTTACATGAAGTTAAATTATGACACACTTTGTCAACAGCTTAAAACAACAAAGAATTTACACAATGTCAAGTTATTGTTATTTCAAGTTATTGATAATATCAGATCGCATTCACAGATTATCTCGTGGATCGAAAACCCCAATTCACATACAAAAAAAAAATCACATACTCAATAGGATCAAAATCAAAATCAGCTGGTCTCGGAAATAGATGTTTAATTAATTCAAGTCGCAAAAATATTATTGAACCTGTTTTTCCAGTCGTCCACGAGGGTATGAATTTAACCGTAATTTTCAAGGCCTTTTCTCTCAAAATGGCCCAACGTTTAGATCAGTTTAAAATACCATAAATGAAATTTTAGCGTTCTTGAGTGAGAAATGAAGAAGTGTGCTATATTGTAATACTTAAGTAAAAACATCCAGAAACCTTAGTTACAACTTGATAAAGAAAAGAATGAACCCTAAATAAGTGAATTACCTAGCAAGTGGTTTATTTGAACAAATTCATGACTCTTTTAGAACCAGAAACAGTTAAAAAATTTAACATGAACCTGTGTCTTTACAAACAATAAAAAAAATGATGTTACATGTTAACATTTCCAAAAATTCAAACATTTTCGATTATAAAAACCTTTTAATTAATTACAATTGTGAGAGAGGAACTGTGCCGTTGCCGTCGCACGATTTGTTTCCGTTTAAACCAGTGCTATTTAATGAAACTACAAAATAAATTTGACGGATCCTTAAGGCTGATTTATAGCTATTCCGCATACGCAAACGGGCCCGGATAACGTAACGGAAGAAAGTTCAACATCAGGTTTTGCTAACATGCATTTATAACAACTCCGTATCCGGAAGCGGGTCCGTAAGCGACGGAAGTTTCTTGCGGTGCTTACGTTCGACCAATAGAGGTGGCTATTGTGCCGAAATGATCCGAATAAATGCGACGAAAATCGAATTAAATTGCATTAACTGATTATTATGATTATGTACAGCAAGGGACGTAACGAGTGACACAGCAGAACTGCAAATCATACATAATCATATGTTATTAGCATCTGATTTCAACTTTAGCACCTTCGAAGATAAGTTAACCCATGGTTAAAAACTGAATCGAATCTCAACCTCAGTTATAGCCTCACATGTTACTGATAAATTGACATTTGACAGCTTTCGAAATGGTCAGAAGAGCGTTTCAAGCACGGTTTTCAAGGCAATGTGACGTCATATGGCTGGTGCGCAAAGCAGACGAAAACTAATCCACCAGAGTCCATCCCTTTTTATACCACCATGTATGTTATGATAAAGTAATACACAAAATTCATAAAAAGCGCAGCATTTGTTTTTGAGGAAAATGCAGAAACATGTCAAGCCTTTTATTTTACTCTCCATCTTTTGACATATGTCACAAAAAATTTACGTCAAATTTGTAAAAGTTATGACGAATCAATGATTTTCTTAAACATGAAGGTATAATTTTGATTTCATTATTTGATAAAGCTTATTTTTCTGTATATGAAAATGTAGTTTGATGTAGGGATCGCATAACCAAAAAAAAATTGAGAAAAATAATAACAAAGAAAATAAACTTGATTTTAATGATAAATATTAAATAAATAAAAACAATACGTTGGAATTAAAATTTATGCTATAGAAATTGTTTAAACTGTTCCGTATTCACCCAAACGATGGTAGAACTCATTGATGGAATTTTCAATACTCTGGGGACTTATAGGTGTCATTTCATGACGAATTCGTGCTTTCAAGTCATCTAAATGATCGGGTCTGTTCATGTAAACACGACTTTTTAAATGTCCCCATAAAAAATCAAGGGGTGTCAGATCCGGAGACCTGGGTGGCCATTCTATTGATTCACGCCTTCCAATCCACCTTCCCTCAAATTAATTATCTAAAAAACCCTTACATTTACGTCATGATGTGGTGGTGCCCGATCCTGTTAAAACCACATCCTGCGATCTACATTTTGTGGATTATCTAGATCAGGCAACATTGCTGTTCTAAGATGATCTAAATATTGATCTGCTGGGAAATTTCCGTGAAAAAGGTATGGGCCAAGGAATCTTTTGTTTATTATTCTCACCCAAACATTAATTTTTTGGGGACGTCCGGTGTGTGCCGCTTGAACTCAATGAGGTTGTTCTCCAGCCCAGTAACAAGAATTGTATCGTTTACGGTATTATTTAAGTAAAATGTTGCTTCATCCGAAAATACGACGCTATTTAAAAATTGGGATTGTCGTTACAATGTCTCATGAAGCTTTCACAAAATTCCAATCGTCTGTCAAGATCATCTTCTGATAGTTCATGGCTGAGTTGAACTTTATATGCATGCAGTATTGCAGTTTCTTTTTTTTTAACTTTACCAGAAACGACTGGCTGACATTTTTTTATAAAGCAATTTCCGTCGTTCTTACATGGGGGTTGTGTTCCAATGATAACAAAAGATTCAATTTGGTGTTATCGTTTATTTGTGGTCTTCCACATCTTGGAACACGTTTCCTGTTTGATTAAATTTTGTAACAGTTCTACTAACTGTGCTTCTATCGATGGGAGGTCGTTCAAAATGTACTTCGTTGAACAGACAGAAGCATAGACAAACAAAAAACATATTTGTTTACAAGTCGCAAACTACCGGATTACATACAGCCAAAAAGTATTTATTATTTTATTAAACCCACTTAAGAAACTGACAAAAGCGATTCTCTTTGACAGATTATTGTTTTAATTTTTAGTTATTTGGATTTCATTTTGTTTCATGTTCATATCATGTTTATTTTGTCTGTTATTAATTTCCACCATTCTTTTTTTGTTATGCAAGCCACATTGTCATATGTAGAAAAATAAGCTTTATTAAATAATCCGATCAAAATTATAGCGTCTCATTTAAAAAAATCATTGATGACGTCATAACTTTTACAAATTTGGCGTGAATTTTTTTTCTCTGTTTTGACATTGGAATGGCACTTTCCAGCACGCAAAATCATGCAATAAGAGATTCTCTTCCAATTCAATTTTTGGTGACATTTTGTTTAAGGAATTGGTACGACAGCCTTTCTTCGCCGCTGGCTGGCACCATAGATTTTAACCTTATACTCTACTTAACGTAACTTAATTTAACATCTATGGCTGGCACCAAATCGTTTGTTGCCGATGCAGCCAAATCGCGCAGCTCAGGGGGCGTCTCTGGCCTGTTTTCATTTAAGACCTACAGTTCATGTTATTAGTAAAATTTTGTTTGTTTTTACCTATATCGCACAAAAATTTCCATTTTCTGCCAAAAAATTGCCATAACCGCTGACAATAAACAATTATTCATTTGTTTAAATTGGACGCCATGACGATGGGCAGTGACACCAACGATAACTATTTTACCAGTGACTTTACCAAAAAAAATCTCCAAGGCGAAATTAATGTTTGCAGTTTTTATTGTAAAAAAGCTAAAATAATGTAAATAAGGGTCAAAATCGAGAAAATAGTATAAGTAGCTCTTCCAGAGAACATAAAGAAGCGTCATAGTTCAAATTAAATGACGGTTGAGGACTTATGTTGGCAACAGTGTTTGTTTCTAACTAGGAATGAAACTATGTATAATAGAAAAAATGTCATAACATTTTTAACGACGCGTTTTTCTTTCGACAAATTGACACTAGATTTACCAGAATATTACAAGCTGCTTACTGTTTCCTTTACTTTAATTCAGGTCACACGAATTACAGTTCGTCTTCTGAGAACTTGTTTGATCTACAGACCAGAGCGCACTCAGGCCAATGTCGACTCTAAGCGTTCGGAAACGATTTGATTTATAAGCCATGATCCGTGATCTGATACACATCCTAAACGGTTTCGACCATAATTTCTTGCTGTTTCAATTTTCGAATTCTCAGTTTTTCGAAAGTTTAGTTTGAGGAGTTTTCAGTTTACTCCTATTTATTATTCAATTTTTGGATTTTACAATTTCTCAATTTTTCAATTTCTCGGTTTTCAGTTTTTCTCTTCAATTTTACGATTTTTAAATATTTCGATTTTTCAACTTTTGACTTTTATAAACTCTTTATTTGTCGATTTTTCAATTAATCGATGTTTTGATTTTCCCATTTTTCAGGTTTTTTGGTTTTTCTATTTTTCTATTTTTTCAGGTTTTGATTTTTCAACTTCACTTTTTTGATTTTTCGATTTCTCAATTTTTCAGTTTTTTAATTTCTCAGTTTTTGGACATTTCAGTTTTGGGATTTTTCAGTTTACTTCTTATTCAATTTTTCGATCTTACGATTTTGCAGGGTTTTTTTTTCAATTTTTCAATTTTTTTAAGGTTTCGATATTGCGACTTCACTATTTTGATTTTTCGATTTCTCAATTTTTCGATTCTTTAAGTTCTCAGTTTTTGGATATTTGGATTATTCAGTTTTTCTTTCATTTTTCAGTTTTTCGATATTTCAGTTTTGGGATTTTTCAATATTTCGATTCTTCGACTTTCCGATTTTTGGCTCCTGGATTTTTTGATGTGTCGATTATTTTACTTTTTCGATTTTTCAATTTTTCGATTTTTAAATTTTAGATTTTTTAATTTTTAAAATTTTAGATTTTTCGATTTCTCGATTTTTCAGTTCAGTTCTTCGATATTTGAATTTTTCAAGTTTTCGAATTTTTCAAATGTTTCGATTTCTTAATCTTTTGAGTTTTCGATTTTTCAGTTTTTAGAAAATTCAGTTTTAGGATTTTTCAATATTTCAATTCTTCGGCTTTTCTATTGTCAACCTTTTGACTTTTTCGATTTTTCAATTTTTGCATTTTCAAATTTTAGATTTTTCAATCTTTTGATATTTCAATTTTTCAATATTTCTTAATCTTTCGATTTTTCGACTTCCTGGTTTTAGATGTTCTGTTTTTCAGTTTTTCGATTTGTTAATTTTTCATTCCCGATTTATCGAGATTTGATTGTTCAGATTTTCGATTTATCAGTTTTTCAATTTTTTATTTTGGCCTATTTCGGTTTCTCAGGTTTTCCAGTTTCCCATTTTTTCGTTTTTTGATTTTTCCGCTTTTCCAGTTTTTCAATTTTTAACTTTTTGTTTGTCGATTTCTCTATTTTTCGATTTTTCGACTTCATCACTTTTCGATTTCTCGTTCTTTTGATCTTTCATTCTCTCAATTTTAAAATTTTTCGAATTTTTAGGTTTTTCGATTTCTCGATTTATCGAGATTTGGATTTTTCCATATTTTGATTGTCAATTTCCTAATTTTTAAATTGTTCAATTTTTAACTTTTCGATTTTTCGATTTTGGCCTATTTCGGTTTCTCAATTGTTCGACTTTTCGACTCCACGATTTCTTGATCTTTTGATTTTTCGATTTCTGGGTTTTTCGATTTTCTAGATTATCGATGTTTCGATTTTTCAGTTATCCGATTTTTTAAATTTGGGAGTTTCGATTTCTCGATTTTTCGTTATTCGTTATTCGGTTTTTAAATTTTAGATTTTTGAATTTTACATTTTTTCGATTTTCTGATGTTTCATTTTTCGATTTTCAGTTCTTCCATATTTCGATTTTTTAATGTTTCAGTTTTACGATTTTTTAAGGTTTCGATTTTTCGATTATTAGATTTCTCGAGTTTTCGAATTTTCGATTATTTTAATTCTTCATTTTTTTTTCTCACTGTTAATATCATAGAGTGTATCGAAAATAACCACAAAAATTTTCACTAAAAACGTTTAAAAATTCATACAAAATAGAACACAGTGTCAATCCATTGGGTTATTACGATTTCAACAATATTCTTAGTTTAAGACGTTTTGCTAGTATAAAACACAAATAAAGAATTAATTCTTAGTTAAACAAAATATGTAAAATCATCTAAATATGTACCAAAAATATTCACTTAGTCGTTTAGTTATAAAAACTGGTCAAACAACTATTTCCCGCAGAAATTATAGTCCAAACCAACCAAATCGTTTCTGAACACTTAAAGTCGACATTGGCCTGAGCGCGCTCTGTCCTGTAGATCAAACAAGTTCTCAGGCGACGAGTGTAGTGAAACAAGTTTTTTTATTGGCATCGACTATTTAAATTGTCTTTGGCGGTTGAGGACTCGAATGTCAATAAAGGTGGTTTTGCAAAATCAGCCTGTATGTCGAATCTATATTAATCTCTTCCAACTCTTGTTCATTCAAACACTCGCCGCTAAGGCAGCTCGTGTTTGAAACTTGAACTTGCGTTGAAATTAGCCAATAACACGTGACGTCACGCTGTGGCGGGAACTCAGCGTTTGACAAGCGCCGTGAAACTCCAGAAGTGGCAATGTTAACATTTTCGCATTTCATTTAAAAGTGTAGGTATTTATCTAGAAAATAAACACATGAATAGCTTCTTTCATATATTTTCTGTGTATCAAGGTGCTTTTTTTGGCGATTTGAGTTTAAAAATACATAATAAAAATAAAAATAGAGAACGCTGTTTTGGTCTGAATTCCTCGTCACCCAAAATACATCCGTGTGTTTTAAACGGTAAATCGGAAATTAATATTTTCGTTTGAGGTTAATGTGACGGGTTTAAGTGAAGGTGTGTGATTTGTTTTTAAAGTATGGATAATTTAAGTGATTATGCACGACGTTTCTTTCAAAGAGAAAAACAGATATGTACAAAAGTTAAACAATTTAAACGGCGGAGATCCTTATACAATGAGTGCAAGTGATTTTAATTTGTGTTTAGACCATGTCCCTACCATAACAATGAATACCATTCTAAACTTTTTATTTTTGGAATAAGTAAAATAACCCACAATGAAATTCGTGCATTCAAAAGTCTAGAGGCATTTATTCAGTTTTCTCTTTTTTAAACAACTGTGTCTTTCAAAATTACAAGTATTATGAGTGGATTTATTTTGATATCCTAAATTTTGTGATGGAACATAATCAGGATGGTCCACATCCGACAAATCTGCAGGTTTACCTAAAAGTGCACCAATGTAGTAATTTATTAGAAACTGTAAATCTAATAGGTAGTTACTGTACCTAAAATAAAATGATCCGAACAAACATAGGAATACTTTACTTTGGCTTCGTTAAATCCACTCGTTTCAAGGCTTTTAACCAAAGCTTCCGCTTTTTTTTCCCATCCTGTATATATTTACCTTCATTGTTGCTAATTGCTGGGAAAGGAAAATAAAATTTGTCCGCATTTCTGGTGCTTCGATTCGCGCAACCCACAACAGCACAAAATTTAGGCATTTTCTCCTAAAATACAAAATATTATAATATTAAGATGCTAGTGTATTTAAAAAACATTGATGTACATTAACAAAGAATTAATTTGCAAAACAAATGATATAAGATGCAGCGAAGTTAACCTGTACATCACATTGGAAAACATTATTTTTTAAGCCTATTCAAACGTTATGGTGCGTTTTACAGATATCTACACAGTGTAGAAACTGTAACAAACTTACCAAACCATAAAAACACAGTTGTCACACTCTCAAATTTACATGAATTCCGAAAATATTAGCATTGACTCTTATGAGAAAACCGGCTAGTTGTCAAACGCTGCCATCTTGGTGACCTCGGATGACGTCAGTGTATTTGGCTAATAACTTACCTTCTGCACTTATGCTTTAATTTACTATTAACACACAATGTCAAAAGATGGAAAGTTTTGGGGTCGGTTGTTAACTTGATTTTTTACAAATCGATTATATTTGATTCTAACTTATACGAGTTTTACAAAACGGTACGTTCCCGTTGATTCGTGACAGTATCTTCTCGCTTGCGAGTCTTCTCACTTCCACGCACTTTTCACTGTGCGGCAAAGTATAAAATTAAATATTAACCTTGCCAAAAGTAAATTGCATTTTTTTTTCAAAAACAAATGCTGCGCTTTTTAGGAATTTTGTGCATTACTTTATCTAACCCTGTATACATTTTTTGCCTCTTACAATATTTATCTAGAATTAGTTGTACGTACAACGGTCGTTATATTGATGTGGAGTGACATTTAACAAGTTAACTTGACAATAAACGGTTTTGTTTAGTTCAAATATTCAGTTCTAATTTTCTACGACAAATTGTGTTGATATCGTAGTATGCATACCCTTACCTAAATTTGAAAAATGAATTCGCTGAAACGTGTATATTTATTCAATGTTTTCAATTTTCAGATGATTCCTTCATCGAAAAATTCCACAGAGATTTAAGCGAAGCCATTACTAATCTGAGTTCAGTTTTACAAATTTCTATGAAAAGTAAGTATTTTGAAATATTACAACTTTAAAAATAGTAATTTTTTGGGTCAGTATTTAGTCAAAATACAACATTTCTAGTAAGGATCTTTTTATACCTTTGCTTATAACAACGTGATAAAAATATAGCATAGCACACGGTCCAATGAATTATTCTTTAGTACAGATGTTTAACAAGTTATTTTTCACGATTTTTGTTTCGAGTCAAAATAGGTAAACTGTAGCAATTTTTTAACAAGTATGATTTATGTTTTACTTAAATAGCAAAAGACGATAACATGTTGTGAAGGAGTACAACTCTAAAGTAAATAAAAAAATCAGTCCTATAAAACTACCTCCCCACTGTTGCCATGAGCAGCGTTCAAACGTGTATTCCTAAAAGGAACGTCTTTCCATAATAGTAATTACTAATTATACTGCTAAGATCCGTTGTTAACAAAACAACATTAAACATTGGAGGAATGATATTGTTTAAACTGCTTATAAGGGATATCTAAACAAAAAATTTTAGACAGAACTTCCCTCGCCCTGAAATATAGGCGAACAAATACAGCTTCTTGGAAAAATTATAAAATTTAATTTTGCGAATTATGTCTAAATTTTTTAAGTGAAAAAAATAATCCTTAAAAAGTCTGAAATTGATTAAAGGGCTGATTTCTGCACCATTACGTTGTGTGTTAATAAAATGAGTTCTCTCAATTGAGACAGCTTTGGCTAACTCACGCACCTTTGTTCATCTTTCGGTCAAAACCCGCTTATGATTTCTCGTATGACGGCAGTTTTTGTTCCTCCAGAATATGATGCATCTTTATCTTGAACTTATTAACTCAAAGGCGAATAACTTCATAGGAAGTAAGAAGTAAGAGTATGCCGAATGTAGGAAAAATGCTTGATTTTTTCGCAGATTTTCCTCCTAAAAAAAAGAACTGTGTCACACGAATTTTGCAATTTTATTCTCTTTTAAATAAAAATCGCTCGACAAGTCGACACACTAGTATTTAATTAGTTATTAATTCCTAAACGAAAAATTACTGATATTGTAGAAACGTCATCTGTAGGAAACTTGAAATGTACATATGCAGTTAATGCCTTTTTATCCCCAGACTGAAAAAGAGGAGTCCTATAAGGCGCTGAGTGTCTGTCTATCTGTGGCACCGTAGTTCCCAAACGGATGCACCGATTTCAATGCGGTTTCTTTTGTTTGAAATCCGGTTCAGTCAGGAAGACTCTAGACTAATTGTGTAAGTTATAAGAGTTATCACAAACATAAATAAAATTCGGAGAAAAAAATGTTATACTTTGTCTATGAAAATGAATTTGAGTGATTGTGCCTCCGGGGAAGTTCCGATTAAATAGCTTTAGACAAATGGTTTGATTTAACTGAACAAATTTAGTCGCCTAAGCCCATGGTATTGTTATGATTAACATTTATTAAAGAAAACTTTTTTTTAAGGTAAAATAATTTTCTTATCACATCTATGACATTAATTTGGAAACTGAAGATCCTGTATTGTAGTAGCATGAATTAATCCACTATCCAATTCAGTTGCCCTTGTAGGCACAGTCGAACCTCTATAATTCGAAGCACCAAGGAAGAGGAAAAGACATTCGAGTTTTCAAAAATTTGAGTTAATGAATTTTTATTAATTAATTATAATTATGTATGAATTAATATGTAATTATGTTAATTGGAAAGTTTTAAGTAAATCTATAGACAAGACGTATTTTTTATAATTTTTTAAAATATTGTAATATACTTTGCTGCTTTTTGATGGTCGGCTGAATTTTTTCGCAATATATCTATACCGATGTCTTGAAAGGCAGTAAATAGTTCGGGTGGCAAATTTTCTTGAGAATTTAGAAAAACAGCAATTTTATCAATAGCTTCATGTACTGCTTCCATATCAGGAATAGATATCGATTCATCACTGCTTGCTTCATCGTCACTTTTTTCATGAGTCTCAGTTTGTAAAATATTTCCTTCGCAGGCCCTTTTAATAGATCCATTACGTTTCAAAATTGTCGATAAAGTATTCGCTGGTATGACGAAATTTCGTGCAATGTCTTTTTTCTTCTTCACACCTTTGTGATCTTGCTCAATCAAACGACGTTTTTCGCGGATGCTAAAAGTTTTTAATTTTTGCTTAGACCCGTGCTCCATTTCATATCACGAAAGCAAGAACTGAACTAAAACAATTTCGCCACTAGCAGATGTATATTAGTTTACAGAATGTGACAATGTTGAGAAAAGTTCGAATTATAGAGACTAAATTTGTTATAGTTGACTAAAAATTCTTCCAAATATAGAAAACTTCGACTAATCGAGGTTCCAGATAAAGAGGTTCGACTGTATATGACATTTAAAAATGCTCACACGGTGATTTCCAAATGTGTACAATAAAAAAAAGAGGAATAGCTCACAGTAAGATTTACTGCACTGTGTAAAGTTCACGCTTCTAAGTGGTAGTAACATCAAAAAAAAAATTAAAATTAAGTATAAATTGTTATACTGGTAGTGTGACCTGACCTACTATAACTACTTTCAATGAATGACAGAGAACTGCTAGGATTAAGAACCACAAAAGCGGCCCACTGGTGCACTAATAAGCAACATGCAAAAACACGATAAGGCTCAGTCATGTATCAGTTGGTTGCCATCGTGTGTTCGGTTAACGTCTTGAATTTTTACAATTCAGAACGTATCGATATGATAATGCTTTATGGTGAGGTTGATGGAAACGCCAGGTTGGCCCGTGGATTGTGGATCGAGCGCTTTCCAAATCGCACCATTTCGTGTGCGCGAATATTTACATCAGTGGTACAGCATTTCCGAGATCATGATACCTTCAAGCTTCAAACTTACGATCGTGGCCGTCATAGGAGCGAAAGAATACTGCAAGTTGAAGGAAAAATTTTGGAATGCGTCGAGGCCCGACATCAGGACTCGCCAACTTGCAGCTGAAGTTGGAGTTTCACAGTTTGTATTGCATCGTACATTAAAAGAAGAAGGTCTACATCCATTCCACGTTCAAAAAGTGCAAACTTTGGAGCTCGCTGATTTTCCACGTCGTGTAATTTAGTGCGAATGATTATTACCAGGGGCGGCTCATGACTTGAAAAGTTGATGAGGCAAAGCACAAAACGCTCCAAAATATAAATAAATCAAGATTACTTAAATATTTTCTACTTAGTCAAATAAACAAATTTGTAAACTCATTTAACTGTCCACCAAGAATCAACGTGAAGGTGTAAGGAACTCTTGTAAGGAAAGGATGGGAATGACAGGACAAAAGGAAAGGGAAACGTGGTCAGAAAAAACTAATATAACTTAAAAAAAAAACAAAATTAAAATAAACTTTAAAGAAAACATCGAAAAAAATCAAATACAACATAAAATAAACCTAATTTGATTTATAACAAAAAACAAAACGAAAAACATATAAAACATAAATACTCTGGATTTATTTTAAACTTTTTTATAGATCAATTAACGATTTACTCAAATCAAGAACCGGCCGTTTTAATTCCTTAACTACATACAATTTATCATCATACGTAAAAGTACAAAAAACAGAACTGCTATTGTCATTTAACGTTAGTAGAGAAAAATTCCGATTTACTCGTAATCTTAAATAACGATTACCGAAATCAAATTATGACAAGCACAAAGCACTAACGCGACACACGCAAACGTAGGCACTTTTAAGACAAAATTCTGTTACCGAAATTTTGAATCAATTTATACACACACAGAGTTGTGGCAAAACAATCAACGGCCTAATTTTGAATACTTTTGCAAATGCAGACTGCATTGTAATCGCACGTTCTCCGCGCGCAAATATTGTTGTCCATCTCTTTTGCAAGCACGGAAATGAGGCTAGCCTCAATTTTGTCTTTTTTCAACTCATACCGCTTATGAGTGTATTGCAGGTTGCTTGCCTATTAACGATATGATTTCTATATTTGCTGTAGAGGCAAGCTTCGAGTTTGCCTCATTCGCGTCACAAAATATATGATGTGTCGAGTGTTTCAGCGCGCTGTTTAATTAAGGGAGCAACGAGTACCTACTGAGATAAAAATAAGAATATAATTTTCCATATTTATTTTTAAAATTTTAGAAAAAAGACAAATTATTGGCCGAAATGTGTCGTTAAAAAATAGTAAAAATTCTAATAAGGCGTAAAATTCATTGGTGAGGCACTGCCTCACCTGCCTCATAGGACAAGCCGCCCCTGATTATTACAGCAATGTTGTGAACGCTCTAACTTTCTAAATTGCATTCTGTTTACGTATGAAGCAGGATTCACTCGCAATGCTGTCTTCAGCAACCACAACACTCACATTTGGTCCGATGAAAATCCACGTGCTCGTCAAAAAAAATGCGATCTCAACGACGGTTTTCCATAAATGTGTGAGCTGGTATCATACATGAGCACTTAATTGGACTTTATGTTTTACTAAACAGAGTAAACGCGGCACATTACCTCGAGTTTTTAAACAATGTGTTGGATGAGCAAACGGATGTGGAAGTACCTCTAGGTGAATGACTTTGCATGTGGCACTTGCATGATGGACCACCACTACATTTTGCTAGGCCACTAAGTGGATGGTTAAATAACCATTTTCCTAGCCAGTGGAAACGGCCCAGTAACTTGGCTTCCACGTTCACCCGATCTCAATCCGTGTGATTTTTGTCTGTGGGGTTAACAGTGTCCAAAAACTATCGAAGAGTTTCAACAATGAGTGGAAGTAGCAGCCGCTACAGTTCGTGGAACACCCGGAGTTTTTGCAGACAGGTAGACGGAAACGGGAGACTACTTTTTTCGTACTGTAGGCGTCATGAAACGTCGAGAAAACCTGAAAGTGGCCATTCATCCGATGGACTCGATTACAATACTTCCTTCGCTTACACTCGGGAAGTAAAAAACCACCAGTTGTTTCTACAACTAATAATTTTTCGCACTGACCTTTAACGATGAATGAATACATGAACGAATGGTAAG